AAAGCTAACACCATGAGCACCCCACAGGTGAGTTTCCAAACTTTCACGGTGAAAAATGAATATCTGACTCGTTGAAAAATGAATATCTGACTATGTCATAAACATGCAGATAGAGCATTTACAAACAAATAATTAAAATGAATGTAACATAGCGTTACACCAGATCCTATGTATCTCACTACCTTTCTAACTCCATTTCTTCAAAGTAAAAATGAGGATGTGTGCCAAACTTCAAGTATGTTAGAACTGGCAATGGCCACACAGTAATTTTCTTGAAAAGTTAGTTTTCATTTTAGAAGTGATTTTTTTTCTTTTAAGAGTAGTATTATCCTTTACATAACCAAAACACATATGTGTTGCAGCATCCACGGATGAACTGAAGGCCCTCATAAAGTTCTGGGTTGGATGGGAGGCTCCTACACAAAGTCTCAACGTGGAAATTAGTCACAGTAGTCTACCCAGGGCATCAACGTGCTTCGAGACACTCCGGCTTCCATCACACTACAAAGAATTTGAAAAATTCAAGAAAGACTTGATGGCGTCTGTAAATACACATGACACGGGATTTGGGCTTGTTTAAACATAGTGTTAACATTTTACAGTTTTAGTTGCCAGCATTTTGTTCATAGCCTTGAATGGAGCCTTTTAGGCTGAACAGTAAAAAAAAAGGCATGTTTTATTTTGTTATAAACGTGCTGTCCTGTCTTGCGTGTAGACATTTTTCATATCCGGTTATTGGCTTCATCCATTTCAGACAGTTTTATGGAAAAAGCCTGTAGAAGTTCTGTCTTAATATGAACAATAAAAACAAGCCTTGTGGAAACGGTGTACAGTAATCCCTCGTTTATCGCGGGGGTTACGTTCCGAAAATGACCCGCGATAAGTGAAATCCGCGAAATAGAAAACTTTTTTTTTTTTTTTTACAATTAGCAACTATTACAAGTATACAAATACAGTGACTCACGTGTAGGCCGTTTCACTGCTCTTCAGACTGGGCCGCTGCATCCTGACTGCGCTCTGCAGTGTTCTCTTCTTCTGAAGCCCGCGGTGCAGGTGTGTTTGTTCGGGACTTAATGTAAATTTGCTAAGCTGTTTTATGTACGTACACATAACTGCACGAGACGACAAAATGATAGCACAATTCGTAGCATGTTTTGATACAAGAAGCGGGAGTGAGTTTTTAGCGAATCAGAATGCAGAGCACAATGCACCAAAAAAAAAAAAGCATTATGAAAATCCGCGAAATAGCGAATCCGCGATAAGTGAACCGCAAAGTGGTGAGGGATCACTGTATTCACTTTGATTAATATTGGTAAGAATTGAAAATACAGACTTTATCAGAGTGTATTTTTATTTTACAATGTGGAAAACAAAGGACTGCTTAATTGTCCCACCATATTTGCACAACCACAATCAGATCAAACTTGTTAAGTGTTGGACATACTGGACCGTAGAAACATATATGTCGTAGCCATGTGAGTCAGAAGGTCCCATTGGATCTATGGCTGCCCTCAGTGCCACAATTTGTTCGGGGTTCAACACGTTGCCAGATTCTGGAATAGTGACCCCGTAATGAGGGTCATCAAGTAGTCCACTGTCTTCCCAGTCAATGTGAGGCACGCAGAGTCCCTGCAACAAAGATGAAGAGCAAAAAAAGGGCCATAATTATGTTGCTACAACTTACTGAATATACTTCCATTTTAATGCATGGAGCTAAAGGTGGAAAAAAAATGACTGGACCTGACTTCTTTTTGTGTTCTGTGGATGAATGTATCTGTTCAGTGATAAATTGTGTACCTAAAAGACAGTGGTTTAAATCCTAGACTTTTTAGACGCATTTGTGCTCCACCCTACTTGAATTAAAAGATTGCATCACCTTAACAGCTATCAAGGGCTGCAGAGACCTGCTTGTCACCAATTTGTGGTCACCTAAATCCACTGAGTGTTTTAAAAAAGACCTTAAAACATTTCTTTTTAGCAAAGCTTTTGGTCCCCTTTAGATTTTTTTTCCTCTATTATAAAATAGCTTTTTAATAATTATTTTTTATGCTTCTTTCATTTTTACCTGTAGCACTTTGAGATCTTTCGATGGAAAGTGCAGTATAAATTAAATGTATTATTAATTTATTTAACACAGGTGTTTAGAGGCAGGAAAACAGCTAAAACATGCAGGACAGTCGGTCTCATAACATCTTTCAAACAGAGCAGGTAAAAACCAAAATTGAATTGCACTCTTTGTAACAAATTAAAAGATACACACCGAACAAGTTTGTGGTTGGTGTCGATGTGCATCAGAGATTTTGGAGCAGGAACTGAGTAGGTGCGCTGCACAACACATCCTAGCTGGGTCATCCTGCACAGGATGCCAACAGTATCTATTCGGTGCATGGAGGCCCGCACCCTTTCCCACTGGACTCGGAACCCTCTAGCCTGCAATGCTCCCTTAACCAACCGATACCCAGCATGAGGCATATCTTTTTTTATGTCACATATCAATAGGTCTAGCTCTGAGTCAGAACAGGTGCTGTAGAGGGCTCTAACAGAGAAGGGAGACTCTCCCATTCTTCTGCAGATGGTACGAGTGGACACGCCCAATAGGTTGGCAATGCATGGCACTGGAAGACCTTGGTTTAGCAGATGTAAGAGGGTATCAGAAGATATATCAAATCTTGGACGTCCAGTTACCCCTTGGGTAATCTGAACAGACACGGTAACGGCCTGATTTTGTCTCTCTTGCACAACTAAAGTGTGCAAAACTGCCAACGCATTCACTATGGCCTCGGGGATGTGAACCTGATCAGACACAACACTAAAAAGAACCACTTCTTGGGAACACACAAACTCAAGGTAATCCAAGCTGAGTGGCTGCTGATTGACAACATGCTGAATTCGCGTTTGAAGCCTCTCCAACATGCTCTGTGCAAGCAATTCCTAAAAAGAACAGGAAAAACAGATGTATACATTTCTTATTCTGGTAAATTAAAGTACTTTCTGGTAGGAAATAAAAACTTTTTTTGGGGGAAGCATTACTTGTTAACTGAAATTGAGACGGGCAGCAGAAATTAACTGATTAAAATCATCAGAGAACAATTTACTTAGGTTGATTGTTCTGTATGATAGGGCATGCTTTAAAACCCAAGAAACAGCAACATCTGTGCTGTAGGTTTCTTTAATGATCATGGGTCAGGTTTATCTTGTAGAGAACGTTTTATACAACAAACAATTATTGATGTGCAGCACGGTCGATCTGAAAAGTAACAGATCGACCATGCCTTTAACTGAAATTGTAAATGCTCTATCTGCATGTTTATGACATAGTCAGATATTCATTTTTCACAGTGAAAGTTTGGAAACTCACCTGTGGGGTGCTCATGGTGTTAGCTTT